TCACTTAAGTACCCCATTGCATGCCACTGCCAAGAGGAGAATGAGGACCCCCAGAATTATAGCTTGATTGAGGTGGCTGGACATTCCATTCACTGCCACGGAAACCAGTGGGTCTTCCATGGATATGCCGCTGATTAGGTAGCTGGCCAAAACGGCTAGGAGAACTTTGTGGAATAAAATGTGATTGCTTTGTCATGTGGTGGCCATAGCCACCATGCATGTCGTGGTTACCAGAAGTGTTACCTACGTTGCCAAGTGAAAATGCCTGAACATGCGGCCCATTTGGCCTGAATTATGAAACAAACAGTACAACAAATTACTATAAATCTACATTGCTCAGAGACCAAAGGGAAAAAAAGTGAAAGGCTCTTTGACTAAACTATATCTTGGCAACCCAATTTGTAAAACTTAAGATATGCATGCAACAAGAGAGAGCTAGACGTTACTCCCAATAACTTGGGCTCCGGTTTGTGAAACTTAGGATATGCATATGAATGAAAAAACCAGCTGCTTCAGTTTGGGTTATACAAGAGGTATGACCAAACTTTGAAGCACCTAGACATGACTTGCCTTTTAAATTATGACAGAAAATCCACCCACTTAACAGTAAGCCAACTGCGGAAACATTTTCCCATGGAGTGGAAAGGATAAACTAAATGTATATGCAGGGGCAGGCTGCAAATAATATGGAAATTTAAAATAATAAAAAACTCACTTTTGCATTGAAAGGCTTGCATCTGTGATGCGGTTGAATCTTGAGACTCCAATTTGGGGTTCTGCAGAAACTTGAGGCTGACTGAGATGCATCCCCTTGATGAATTCTGTAGTCATGCTGTTCACATCCAAGCCATCCTCTTGCAAAAGTAGTTCTTCACTGATAAAAAACCCATCAACATCAAACAAGTTATACATACAACAAATACTAAATGCTTATAGTCATCAAGCATGTTTGGCAAAGCTTAAAATATAATTTAAGCTGGCCAAACAAACTTTTTATCCATATATTTCGTAGGACCTATAACTTATAATCACTTAAAAATTTAATCTAAGCACTCCCAAGCATGCTTATTATCAAGCCTTGCAAAGCAAGCACATTGTGACATGCCAAAGGGGCCAAATTTTCTATAAGGAACCAAATCTATTATTTACCAAAGAAACATTCTATGTTGAAAATACTATAAATAAGTAGAAAAAGTAAATTTTTGGAGGTGCAAACATGGTGGTAATACTGGATATTGTTATCAAGTGTTAAATAGAAGGCTCAACCCATAGAGAACCCCTTAGAACAGAACCAAAGGCTAATAGACAGTTCAAATTGCTAGATAGTATTGCGATGGGTGGGCAGGGGTCAAATGTTCCTAACTCCAAGGTGATTGA